TGAATTGCAGAGGTCTTGAAAAAGAAGGATCAACACTGCAAATATTGACTCTTTGCATAAAGTTAATGTAACTGTCAATAAAAGCCTTTGGCACTTATGCAAATGCTTGTACTTATACTTCAGTATACCATCGTAACATCTGCACGAAGATCTTCCAACACTGGAGCAGCAGACCTTGTGAGAATTAATCTTTGTGTCATTCTCAAAACTTTTGGCCACGGGTGTACAGTAGGTGAATCTGCGCACAATGAAGGATTAGTTGGAGTGTGCATGTTTGTCCACCTACGTGCCCTACTTCCTCCTTCTCTCAAGAAGCAAGTAACATCTGCACAGATGGTATCTCCTAGATGTTATCTTTGGGAAAAACAGATTTTTAATTTCAGCACATTTTAATTTCTTTTTAGAACTTTGGCCAGTTTCAGCTGAACAGCATGGTTTGTGCTAAGCAAGCTAATCTTTATGATGTTTAACTAACTATTAGATTACTATCTCAATCTGGGGTGTTTTTGATTTATTATACTTTTAAAATTTCTCCACCATATACAAACATTGATGTTATTTATTACCTAGTATTCTGCTAAACAAAAATTGTGCCATTGTGCCTGGTTAAGAAAAAAGCCACTGACCTTTCTTTTGTGCTACTCACAAAGTTCCCAAGGCTTTTTCTACTAACTTTGCAGAGACTTGTTCATTTTCTGATAATTCACTCTAACTCAATTTCCTGTCTTCCTAAAGATACCAGTAAAAAAATAAAGCAGAATTAGCGTCTCACATCTGTGGTCCTTGGCTTATTATATTGTTAAAACAGGAACAACTTAATGAATATATTAATGCTAGTTAGGAAAGGCATTCTTTTTTAGCAGTTAAATTTTAAGAATTGTTCCCAGTGTTTAAAGAGCTTTTAGTAAAATGGTCCCATAAACAAATTTGAGAAGAAGCAAAAATTACACTGAAAAATACAAAGTGAGATGAGGAAACCCAAGATATATAGGAACATTGTCAATTTCTGATTTATCAGAACAATGGGAACTGATGTGGAAATGTTGCTGATAATGTGGATGGTTAGATGAGAGAATGTGGGAGGGCCGGATACAATCATTTCTGAATGCCAATCACAGCTGTTTTGGTCCATATTCTGCTGTAAAGTAGATTGGTCTCTTGGAGTGTAATTTTAAAATAAGGGTACTGCCTGAAAGAAGTGCACTGATGGCACAAAGGCACTGGCAGTTACCTAGATTGGGGAAAACCATGATTTGTCCCTAGGCAATTCATAGAAGAAAAGTACTATACACAAGGACATGGATTTTCTTCTCTCCTCCCTTCTGTTTTTAGTCAATACTGGTTTCTCCACATTAATAAAATAGTTCAGAATGAGAAGGTTTGCAGATTTGCAGGGTTTCTTTCAGAAGATACAACTTGAACCAATACTCACTGATGGCACATTTTCATTTTAGATCATCTGGATGTATCGGCTTCTGTCATGCATCAATTTTTTCCATTTACTTGGAGTGATTTGCACCATCCAACATGTTGAGGTGCCTTACAGTGTGTGTACGTGTGGACTAGATGAACCTTTTAATTTTTCAATAGTGATAAAAGTAATAATCTGGATTTTTTTTCTCCCTTCCACTGAAGCCTAGTTTAATGTGCAATATTTATCTCACTGAACAAGTAGCTGCCACTACCAGTGTAACTACAGAGCTGGGTGGAGACACTAAATTGTAGCACTGAGCCATCACATGGCCAACTTCGAATCTTTTGGAGGACAAATATATACCTGTGGCATAGCGGAGAGAACAAGGCAGTGATATAGGAATGAGATGTGGTTGTTCAGAATTGGCCTGGATCAGAACATAGGTTTCTTGATCTTAACTTATTTTATTAAGAACTCATAAAATTAATATTGCAATTAATTTGATTAAAAGATGTTGATTTTCAACTTCTGACATCTTGCTCAAGCTTAACTGGAATAATCGTTTTATGTACAGTGCAGCAGTAGATTCATTTGAAAAAGCAGTAGCTTTGTCCTAAGTCAGAGCCTATTCTGTTTTATTCTTTTAACAGACAAATGACTTACAGTCTTAGAGAACCACCTGGATGACAATATGTTCAGACAAGCCCTTTTAAATATGTCCTCCCTCTTGAAGGCCTATTATTCAAGTACAGAAGGTCATTTCCTTTGTCATCCCCTTACTATGGAATGTACTAAGAAAATAGTTAAGACACAAACCTTAAAATCTGGGTTTTTAAAATTGTTTAATAATAGGCTGCATGGCGTTGTATTTTTTTAAAGTTTTTATTTGTGTATATAGTTTTGTGTTGTAAGCTGCCTTGATAGTTCTATTTATATGGAATACAAATCAAATAAATCCAGCTACTTCTGATTGGAAACTATAGTTTTAAAAATTGTCTGTGAAACTAATACACCAACAATTCTTATGTCAGTATAAGGGCAAGAGTGAAGTAGGTGTCAACATAAACTGCTGCCCCTTTCAGGAATAAAGGCAGCAAAGAAAGCTGGCAACTTATGCATAACAAGATTTAACTTACAAATTCAAGAGTATTTTCGATAGCTTAAACTCATATATCCAACTGATCTGGAGGACATCTAATTTGGTGGAGGAAGACTGGTCGCTCAATGTAAAACTCAAAGCACTTTTCAGTACATATATAGTCAGAGATACTTTTAAACTTCTACTGCTTCAAAATATTTTTCTGAAGGCCAACAATGGGAAGAAATGATGTTCAACAATTTAGCTAGGATTGAGAAATATGACAGTAAATTCAACAATACCTACAAGAGAGATCTTAATTTCCAGGTAATGTATTTGGCAACAGGTAAGTTTGACTGTCTAAAGCTTATACATCATGCAACGTCTCTAATGGTGTGCTCACAGAGAAACTTTAAACATTTTGAATAATAGATGCATGATTATTTAGTATTCTCTTTTACCCCAAACAGAAGCTTGGTACAGATATAAAATATTTTGGCAATGCTTTCTTTCCTAGTACAAAACCAAACAGAAAATTTAGAAAAGTAAAGTTCTATATACAACAGGTGCTGGGGCTTTAGAATTCCAGATGTAGTAATCTGATGAAAGTACCTCACGAGCTAAAATTAAAAGAAAGGGAGAGAAAAAATAAGTTCTTAGACTGATTATATCCTAATGTACAAAATAGATTTTGAAAATATTTTGCAATTTAAAAAATAGATGTTTTCATAAGACATAATAAAAGGGCAGAGTATTTTAACTTAGAAATACATGCTTCATTAAAAACTCAGATTTTCAGGCCAATAAACAGAAATTTTGCAGACATAAATGTTTGGAAGCTAAATGTATTTGCTTCAATTTAAACTGCCAAAGATGTAACATGCTCACCTGTACTGATCTTTGCTTTGCCTGATGAAAAGACCTGAATGGAATGCTGGTCTGTATAACATCCAGTAAGTGTGAAATCCAACATTCTAAAATAAAGCTAAAGGCAACCAAGCAAAGAACACTGAGAAAGAGATGCAGTGACTCTCATTTTAATTTTTTTGGAGGGGAGGGGGCAATATACTAGCAATTTATATGTAATTAAGACCAGCTGCAAAGAAACGCAGCAACCAATTTAAACATGCAAACGATTGGTCTATATAACACAAAGGTCTATATGTCAATCTATAATAAAGTCTTTTTGTGTTCAATAAGGCTGACTTCCTCAGGAATTTGTTTTAAACCTAAAGCTAAGTTAGCTACAACATGGCTTTCTGAGCAGTTTTTACCTTGATAAGATTTAATTTTTTTTTTAATTTGGAAAAAGAAAAGCTATTTCAGTCTGAGGTTGGTTCTTGCAGTTGTTAACTTTCTCATATATCCAACTGACTCTGAAAATGAGATCTCTTGGAAAGATTCTTATTGTTCCTTCACCTAGCTTGAAAGCCCAAAGGATTCTCCCAAAAGAAAACAGCACCTAGGAACTTCCATCCTCTGAGCACAGAGATACCCATTTCCATGCCAAAGCCAGACAGTTAAGATCCAGTTTTCCCCATTTTCTCTTAACGATCACAACTTACTTTGACATAGGCAGTGTTTCCAGTACAAACAGCATCAACTGGCTGATCCTGACTTGTAGGACCAAAAGCGACAGTCCCAGTAAGAGAAATTTCTAGTGATTTGGGAAATTTTTGCCCTTTAGAGTAAAAGGAAAAACAAAACAAAACAGGTATAAATATTTCACAGGGATGATTTCACAGGGGCTATTTTAAGATTTATATGGCACTTCTCCTAAAGGATAAACTAGGGAGGATAATAGCATCTGGTCCTATATAAAACATTGATGGGGAAAGCCAAGAACAAAAGGAGCATGCGGAGAAGGATCTTTTTACCACTTAGAGTACATCTTCCCATAGTGTACTTCAATGTAATTTTGGTCAAGCAGACTCACTTTTGGTACTGGAGCCCAGCTGAGAAGAAACAGGAAAGTTTGCAAGATATTATTTCAGGGCAAAAAGGTCAAAAGAATCCTGGCTTGCAAGAATGTTCATGGAAGAAGTGACATCTGACAAAAAGACCAAGGGAAAAAAATATCCTTGGGTGCCATAAAGGCACATACATTTTTTTAAAAAGGAGATTCTAGAATTAGTGCATTTTATGTGGCAAATAAAAATGGAAGGTATCCAGAAGGTAATAAAGCAGGGGAGGGTAATTTACAGCTAACTGCAGCCACACTGCCCAGTTTTTGGTAGCTTTCAAAGCCCCCCAAGTTTGCACAGCTGAAATGTGTTGACAAAAATGATGAAAATAAGCATGCTAAACCTTATGTTTTTTTTGTGTTGATCCCACCTCCATGGGCCAAAATATTTGGCCCTTTTGTTGTTGTTGTTGTTTAGTCGTTAAGTCATGTCCGACTCTCCGTGACCCCATGAACCATA